ATCTAAGGGGATTTAAGGTAAAAGGAGGTTGGATTTGGCCTTTAGGAGTTGAGATCTTTAATTTGGTGTTAGTTTGGTAATCTCCGGCCACCGGAGACGGCGGCCGGCAGCGGCGATCGGCGCCGGAAACGGAGGCCGGATTTCTCTTCCGGCGAGAGAAAACGAGAGCTTCTCTCTCTAAAGAGAGAGAAGCAAAAACCAGAAATGAAATAATGGCCCTTAAGGGCCGGCTTAAATGGGTATAAATACCCTCATCAAAACGACGCCATTTTGGTGAGGGTATCTGTGTAATTTCACATAAGGTTAAACCTTTTCCGCAGCCATCCTAACTTGTAATTCTTACATTTAGTCACTAAATCAAATTTATAATCCTTTTAATTTGGTCTCTAAATTTTATTTTTTATATTTTAGCCCTTAACCGTATTATAAATATTTAGGATAAATAACAGAATTAATCCCTTAATTTAATAAATAATATTTTAATCCCTAGTTTATATTTTTAATTTATTTTATTCTAATATCGAATTTTAGATAAGTTTATTTAGTCACTAAATTATAGAATAAAAAAATAGCATGTTTAATCCCTAATTTTGATTAATTATGAATTAAGTTTTAATTTTATTTTACTATAATTTAGTCATTTATTTTAAATGTTTTCATTTATTGCTTTTAAATATATAGCTCCAATTGTATTTTTATTTTTATTTTATATATTTAAATATTTTTATTATATAGTCATAAATATATATATAATAAATAAATATTATTTCAAATAAATTATTTAATATTTTTTTTTTAAATCGAAGAAAAGGACAGTCTTAATACAACTGGATGTCCTATTCTGGTATTTTAAATTAAATATTATAAAAAAAATTATTATTTAATTTATGTAAATTAATCAATATCAAAGAAGAGCTGTCTTAAGGCACCTAGAAGTCCTTTTCTGATATTTTTTTAATAAATATTTTTTTTAAATTTGAAATAATAGGATTATAAATTAAATATATTTTAAATTTTTAATATTTTTAATATAGACAATTTATAATTAAAAAGTACCAATTTTGGGCGTTGTAGGGGTGCTAATCCTTCCCTAAACGTAATCGACCACGAATCCATTTTATTATTAAAAAGAACGAATTTTTGGTTATAAACGCAGATCAGTTCATTTTTTTTATTGGTGTTTTCTAAAACTCTTTTAAAAAATAATTTCTAGGTAATTCGACCTACCTGACCCAAAGGCCGATGGCGACTCTCAATTATTTTCAAAACTATTTATTCACATCACTTTTCTCGTCAAGTAAAATTTTTTGTGCCCGGACGAAACCGGTTACGACAGTTTGGCGACTCTTGCTGGGGAGTGGTCAAACTTTAAAAACAATTATAAATTGTCTCTATTAATTAAAATTTATATTTTTAATTCTTTCTTTTCAAAATTTTTATATATACTTATATTATTTTATTAATGTTCTAGTTTATTTACAAGTATTTTATTTCATTATTTTTTTCTGTCAAAGGTTTGAACATTTCTCCTCACACACAACACTTGCATTTCATAACATAATCTCTATAATTGAGATTTATCCCTTTTAAGTGGGAGTGAAAGCGACGTCTTCGTGAGAATTTATTCTCCGTGTCAGACCTAGCAAGTAACTTTCGGGGTTCATATGCTCTATGTCTTCGTGAGAATTATTCTCGTGTTAGTCATAGAGAAATGTATCCCCTCGAATTGAACTCGGTCCGTTTTAAGTCTATGATGGACTAGGATTGAGGTTTGACAGCCCAAGGGGACATCAACAAGGACAGTTCGAGTACCTTTACTCCTAGAACTAAAAACCTGCATATAATAAACCCTAGAAACTCTCCCGATCTGAAACCATGCCGAAATTTTGTCATAGGATACACAAAGGAGAAATAAACTCTAGCTTTTAATTTATTTCTTTTTCCTGAATAAATGCATGCGAACTAGAAATCATGCAGTTAGGTTAATTTTTCCAAACAAAGCATGGAACTAGAAAGTATGAGGTTATGATTTATACATTGTAGATAGATTTTTATAGTTGGTACTACTATTATATTTTTTCTTATTTTTTTCATGCATGTTACATTGCTCTAATCTGTTCATATTGATTTCTTTTGTTTGCATTGCATGATCAGGCATAACCAAAAGGTGTTGACTTGAAAGACTGTTCATCAAATTGGAAAGAATCATAAATGGACAAAAGTTTATGATCGAACAAAATATGACGCGGCCAAGGAAATACATCCTGAAGAAACTACGAGGATCGGGGAAGTTCTGTACATAGAGAACCGGTTATATTAATACCAAGGTATTACACAAGGATCCTACCAGATTAATACCAAAAGCAGTCTATGGTAAGAACATCAGTCAGGGCATTCAGAGTGGAGGTTTTTATGAAGCTCAAGCATGTTATTTGAAGGACTTGAACGATCAAAATAAGAAATTGAGCACAGAAATGAAAACCATGCATGAAGATTTTCAGAAGATCAGTCAAGCTTTTCGAAATGCTGGCATAGGAAACACCCCAGAAGAGTGGATAACAGGGGTCACCAAGTTGAAAAAGAATTGCAATATATATGAGGATATTGTTCAAGAACTTCTTGGACAAAAAGGTTCTCTTACAAGGGAAAATGAGCAACTTCGAGAGTGACAGAAGATGAAAGAGAATGTCATAGAAGAAGTTGCAGTCCAGACAAGCATATGGTTCTTAAATGATAGATTAGCTGATTTTACAAGGAGATGAAGCAGACTGAAGACTCAACTTTTTGAGCATGAATGGAGACTAATTTGGCTTTGGAGAAGTTAGGAATGAAATATCCCTACATGTAAAGTTTTGTTTGATGTACCGAAACTTTTGCGTTCAATGAATCTGTTCTAAGATGATCACTCTTGAGTAACACCTTTTCATACATGCATTGTATTTTGCATTTGTACATTTTTACGTTTGTATTTACATTTACATTTTTAAATTTACATCATGCATTAAAACATTTAATTAAATAATAATGTTTATTTATTTTCATATCAAGAAAAGGGCAGTCTAATATACTGGATGTCCTATTCTGGTATTTTAAATAATTTACATTTACATTTTTACATTCACATATTTACATTTGCATTTGGCATTTGCATTTTTTATGTCATAATACATTAAAACATTCATTCATTAAAATAAGGATTTCAAACGAAGTGATCTTGGTTTTTCCTTGAATCAAGAACGCTCAGCACGACCAAGAAAAATGTCTAAAGAAACTGAAGATAGGCTAGCCAAATTGAGATAAAGTAAGATTTACATAATCACAAACTCCAAATGCATAACATAAAATCTAAATTTGATAAATCAACATGCTTCACATAACACAAATGTATGTCTGGTAGATCAATATTCAACATATAACATTTTTCGAGATTTGGCATATCATATTTCACATAATAATAACTTAAGCATAAATTAGTCAGTCACAGATCACATCATAATCAACAAAATATACTAGACAACCAAATAATTCACAAATAAAATGTAGTTCCCGAGAAAGACACGCCTCAACAAAATAACTAACTTTGATCGTAACGTCTCCCACGATCAGCTCGAACATTCTATCCACCCGAATCATTTCCTACCGAATGAATAAATAAATATTCTAAAATAACAACGGCGTAAAATGTAACAGAAATTATCAACTAGCACTCACGGTCAACACGAGTAATACATGTTGGTTCGAAATTCACGGGTAACGACGGAGGGGGCGGTAATTCAATTCTCGGCTCGATTTCTGCTGCAAAAATTACGATGACTAATTTCAGTTTCTAATAGAAAATTTCTAGATTATTCAAACAATCTAATATCATTAATAAATATTTTTGGTTCGAATCAAAAGTTGACAACTGGGGTTTTTGGTTCAAATAAGGGGTTGCCTAAATAAGAAAAAGAGGTTGTCAGTCAGCTACTCCCACGACCAACTGGTGAGGGGTCTAATGGCAGTAGCCACGACCGGCGATGGTGACTACACAACAACACGGCAGGGGACAACGATGATAAAGAAACGCCAGCATGCAGCAGGGCTCCCATGGCCCACTGGGGGTTGCTCAGGCTCGGAATCGATGACCATGCCTTACCGGAGCAAAGCCCTGCCACAGTGAGATCAGATCAGCCGTGAATGACCTTGTATGCGACTTTGTATGAATGGTTTAGCTACCAAATGGGCCGACGTTGACAACAAAACTCGACGAAGAGACAATGAAAGGGTTCGGATGGTCGGACAAAAACTCGACGAAGAGACAATGAAAGGGTTCGGATGGTCGCTAACACAGACGACTTACCAAGTCACTAACGGTGACGAAGAGTGGCGTGGAGGAGGGTGTCCCTGCTAGGGTTTGTGAAAATAAAGAATGACGAAATGATGGGCGTCGCGTGGTTTAACAGAGGATTAAAATTGGGTTAATTACTGGGTAGGTTCTTGGATTATTTAGCTATTAAATTAGCTTCCACTTTATCCTTTTTTACAATTTGGTCACCAATCTCAATTTAAGGATTTTGGGACAAATTTTCTAAATTTTAGGGTTTCAAATTAGGAATTAATTTGGGTGTTACATAAGAGGTAAAAAAGGAGTGTACTAAAATTTTTTTAAGATCCAACGATCACAGATGACAATTGATTATGATCGATGTCATCACAGAGAGACTTTGGTTGAATTCAAATGTCAAATTCATATTTTATTGAAAGTTTAGAGTACAAAATAGAATTTAATTTAAATTTCAAATTTCATATCAATATTCTATCTACAATTCATGAGTTAATTTAAAAAAATAATCCCTTTTAACTAATATGCTATATCATCAAATTAACGAGATTCAGTGATCAAAATATAGTAATTGATAATGTAAATGATTAAAATTTAATAAATCGTTAATATAAACAACCAACATTTCGCTTTTTAAATTTGATGAAAAAAATGTATAAATATGAAAGAAAAATTATTATACTCAAAACTAACCTTCGCGCTCGAAGAAACCCTAGATTTCCCCCTTGAATCCATTGAAGGTCTAATTTCCCGATACGAACCCAACTTTTTCTTCAGAACTTGTCGGGTTGGATGGATAGCAAAAACCCTAATTAAATTTCGCCGGAGAGTAATAGGAAAATTACAATGGACGCGAAGGACATCCTTGGTCTACCCAAAACTCCTTTGTCAATAACCCAGGAGAAGAAATCACGTCCTCAGAAAGACTCCCAGAGAAAACCCGATGGTATTTCACGCGAGGTAACAAAAGGAAATTTGAATTGTTTGCTTTTCAAAATTTTTAGCTTGCATTGAGCGAAAGACGGCTACTTCCCTACTTGAATTTACTTTTGGGTGGAATTTGTAGGTTTATGCCCTCACTGGAGGGGTGGCTCCGCTTATGCCTTCAATTGACGTCTCTCAACTGAAACGACGCCCACCATCCGACGAGAAGGTTTTGCCTAGACTTCCATTGCTTGTTAGACTGCAATTTTTTGTTTGCATTTTCTTTCGAAGAAAAGAAGTTGATTTAGAGACATGTATATTTATATATTTGCCCTGATGAATAAAAGATTAAATTTGAGTTTCATGGAAATAACTTTGTATGTATCTAACTCTTGGGAAGTGTCTGCAAACAAGAAAACTAGTGTAAGAAACTGTCAAATGGTGGTTCATGGCTTCATGCTATGATTTAAGGCGTGCTTCTTAGTGATTTTGAAATTCTCTTCAGATCACATGGCAGTGGCTTCCTTTCACGAGCTCTGCCCGAAAAGATAACTTGGAACTTTACCACTGGGTAAGTATCTTTTTCTAGATAAAGCTCCCCCTTAACTAAGTGGGTATTTTTCAAGGTGTGAGTCTCTCTTATTTCTTTCAGGTGAGAGTCGTAAATGGTGTTCCACCGACAGGGGATTATTCCTTTGCTAAGTATAACAAGGTATGCACAAACCTGTTATTTATTTATTTTGCTCTTTCCATATTTACTGTAAACTAGTTCATGCTATATCTATCTCCCTCTATCGCTATGTTTTTATGCATTTGTTTTTCATGCAATTAAACATGCTTGTCTGGTGTATTGCAGTCTGTTGATGTTATCAGATACACAGATGAGGAGTATGAAAAACATTTAACTGATCCTGTATGTATCAACTTGAGGCTGCAGCTCTTGTTTTTATTTTTCTGCCAATTGTTATTTCTATTTTTATCTTTGAAAATTTGAAATGGTCGAAGTGTATCGTAAAGTCAAGGCATGTATTTGTGTTTCCAACTTTCCATTAATTCAATTTGCCTGGTTAATTCCCCCCACCCCTGATAATTAGAAATGGACTAAGGAAGAGACAGATCAATTGTTTGATCTGTGCGAACAGTTTGATCTCCGCTTCATCATTATAGCTGATAGGCTCCCGACAACCCGGACTGTTGAGGAACTGAAGGATCGTTATTATAGTGGTACTCTATCTAATTTCTGGACTATCTATTGGCAATCATCCATATACTTCCTTGATGTTCTATTTACTGTTTGGATTTGCATATAATTTTGTTTTAATCAATCTTTGAGATGTTATATGGTTCTCATGGTGATTATGGTTCTATCTTTATGTAGTGTCTCTAGCCATTCTGGTTGCTAGGGCTCCATCACTTGGCGAAGTTCCAGGGCATCCTCTTGTTAAGGTCTGATATCAATATAAGTGTAACCTTTTAAACTATTTACCTTTTTGTTTTTGTTGCAGTTTTTAGGAAGTAGGAACAAAAATAAGTTGTTATTGTATATAATGTTGCACTAGGAAATTATTTATTTTCAATTGTTATACAGTATCTCTGATATTATTCTCTGGTATAGGAACCCTACAATGTTACTCAAGAGATTGAACGCAAGCGTGCTTTATCGATGGTCCTCTCTCAAACAAAGCACCAAGAGCGGAAAGATACTGAGGTGCACATTTTTTTTTCTATGGAACCTTTTCTGCCGTTTATTATGTGATTTTCCCTTCATTTATTTGTGTGTAGGCTTGTTGGTTGAATATCTAGAGTTCTTCACTACTCTATGGTTTTATCTGCAGGTTCTTGCTGAAGCAAAAAGAATAGCCGAGTCACGTCTGGCTGCACAGGTATGTATCAGCCGAACAAGTTGCTATTGTGGTGGTTGCAATTGCCATTGTTGGACTTTAAATATGATGTCTATTAGTGCCACTTGAGTTTTCAATTGAAGTCAAAAGGCATAAGATTTTCAACTTGATTTGATAGTCACATATGTTGTACGTTAGAGAGTTGGAAACAGTTATGAATCTTATGGGGTGTGTTGTTTTTTGTGTATTTGGACCTGGATTTCTACAGTCTAGAATAATATAGCTTTCTATGTATATGCTATTCAGGCTGCCGAAGAACCTGATATTCCTGCCACTTTAGATATTGGTCCTGAAAGTGCTGAGAGGGCTGTTGGTTCTGGAGATACTATATCTCCCTCCAATGTTCAAGTTCATGCTGCAGCTGCTGCACCATCTACCTCAGTAATTGCTGATAATTCCTCAACTCTTGCTTCCTTGCGTATGGTATGTGTAGCGTTTGGTCTTCTGTTTTCTCTTCTCTCTTTCTCTCTCCATCAAAGAATAAATAAATTCAGAATGGGAAATGGCTCCTTTTATCAGTAAAAACATATTTAATTTGACTTGTACTAAATGTTCTCCCTTTTAATAATTCATTTCATTTTGCGTCCAATATTTTTATGGTCTGATTAGTACCTATGGCAATTACTTCTTGGAAGCTTGTATGGAAGAAAGGTTGTGTTTGTTTTCTAAAGTTTGTTACATGATACTTTTTGGTATTCTAGAGTTCTCTAACTGCTTTTATATTATTTTCAGCTTAGAGTATACTTGAGAACTTATGCACTGGAGCAAATGGTCCAAGCTGCCAGCTCATCTGCTGGACTTCGGACTATCAAGCGAGTTGAGCAAACCTTACAAGATCTTGGGGTTTGTCTCTGCTCCCTGAAATTTTAATTATGTGCAGATATGTTCTTTTATCAGTTATACTAAATGTATCATGACCAGACATGAAAACTCTTTCTAATGCGTTCTTGTTCTACTTGCAATTTCTATACATGAAGATTCCTGTGTCTATATGTGTGTGTGTGAGAGAGAGAGAGAAAGAGAGAGAGAGAGAGAGGGTGTTTCTCACAGGATTTCATATTATGCACCTATTAAATCTTGCTTTCTCAAATTGTAAGGTCTCTTTATGTTTTATTGGAGATGGTGTAGAGATTCAGTAAAATAGATACTTCTTTTTAACTCAAGTGTGCTAATCTGTTATTGTTGTCATTGTAAAATGACCCTGCTTTATTACTTTTAATAGTTATTGTCCATTTAGTCTAGAAATATATCCTTTGCTCCTTATTTCTAGCCATTTTCTTGTCATTCAATTCTAAATCTTACAAGCATTCTTCATTATTTTAATTTAAGATCTTCCTGAGTTGGGTTTAAATTATATTAACCTTTTACAGGTTAACTTAAAGCCAAAGGTTCCAACAAAGGCTGTTTGTGCTGAACATCTTGAATTAAGAAAAGAAATTCTAACGCTGCTAAATCTCCAGAAACAGGTATTTTGTTTTCATATCTTAAAATTATGGGTAAACTATGTCAGTAGTCCCATTCGTTTTCGGTCTGACCGACTTTGGTCACCGGTTTTTTAATTAAGTGTCCTTGGTCCCTTACGTTATCGGTCCGTCCGGTTTAAGTCCCTCGGTCGTTAATGTCCGTTAACCCATTAACGAAAGTATCACGTGGCAATTAAAAATTAAAAGAATAAAAAAAATCACCTGTAAAACAATCTACAGTCACTTCTTCTTCTTCTTCTTCGACAAATCCAGCCTTTCTGTAAATCGATAAAACCACTTTAAAAGTGAAATAATTCAGAGTGAAACCATCAGATGTTATTAGATGAAAAAGACGAATTGCGTCTTCATGAAGATCATTATATCCACGAGCCTCTATATTGGCAGTCCATGTCATAGGACCCTTAACACGGATGGCATCAAATACTAACTTTGCACTGCTGATTAATCCACAACCACTGTACATCTTAACCATATCAGCCGAAACGAAAGGAATCGACTCAGTTTTTCTTCAAGACTTCCCCCATGAATCTCCTTCCCAAGCTTTACAGCTTTAAGCTCACTGCAAATGTTGAACATCCTAGCCATTAACACCGAGTCTGACCTGTGTTTTGACAACTGCATTGACGTAAACACACCTATTGCTTCTTGAAAACACCCACTCTATGCATATGGCTTGATCATGGCTGTCCATTTTTGATAAGAATAGGGCCTCATTAAAAACCCCTTCATAACCATCAAGCTCCGAAAAACTCCATGGCCATTGGAAGGAGGAAAAGAGTGCCCAAAAATTTTATTGCTAAACATAAGGAGTACATCTAAGAACAGATCAGATAAAGTACAAAAGTTCCCTATTAAACACCCAAAACATACACTCACCTCACACTAGACTATGCCCGGTTATTTGCTTCCCCATTAATACATCTCTTAACAAGCCTAGTTATTACATTGAACTGTATCACTGTCTTAGCAATTACTCTAACCAAATTAACATAGAGAATCGGGCATGTCTCCGGATTGTTCCACTTCAACGCAATTGAGGAATCACTTTCTAAAATAAGACTCCCCTTATCCCTCCACACCAAATTCAAAAACAAATCTAAACCAACTTGAATTGCTTTAATCTTGGCAAGGATCAGGGGGCCTGGTCCGGATGCTCTTGAGAAAAACCCTAACCTCTTATTTTCAGCATCCCTGAGCACATCGCTAATACCACTGCACCTCCAGTCAAAATTAACAGCCCCATCCACATTCACTTTAAAGAATCCCAGAGGGGGGGACACCACTATGGCTTAGTCGAACCAATCTTCGAAGGAGAAGAGTGCAAATCAGCCATGTTTAAGTCTCCCGCGAGGCAATCAAGAGGGATATGGAAATTTGAGTTCTTAGCCAAGAACCATGAAGCCACCCTATACTAACCAGAAAGAAAGATTAGTCTGATCCAGCCTACCATTCTCGAACACCATATGATTTCTACAATTCCATACAGTCCACAAAACAACACCCGACACAAATTTCCAAATATTCAAATCCGAAGTAAATCCAACCAGGAGAACATAAAACCTTTGGGATTATTGGGAAAAACCGAGTATAAATTGCACAATCGTAGAAACCACACCCAAATCCCCCAAACAACTTTGCATGAAAAGAACAAGTGGATAATTTTATACAGTTTGTATAGTTGCAAGAAAATTAGTTAAAAATATGAGTGAGAGAGTCAAAAATTTAGAGAGAGGAGCGAATGGTCAGTTTGCTGTGGGGGAGAAATGGACGATTTTTGTTGATAATCTTAGCAAGAGGGTTACAAGAGGTGAATTAAGGGAAATATTTCAGCATTACGATCAAGTTGTGAGGATTTTCATTCCAAATTTTACTCAGAACCCGAAATACAAGAACTACACTTTCGCGTTTGTTCAGTTTGCAAGTGAGGAAGGGAGGAGGGCTATTCAGTGTGTTAACGGAACTTGGATCGACTGGGAAAAAAGCTTCAGTCGGGTTAGAAAAATATCAGAACAACAGAAATAGAGAAGTTACTGAAGGCAGGTCTACGAGGGATGGGCCAATCCCAATAAGGGTGGAGAAAACAAATGGTGAGAAGCACGCTGGATCTTCGAGAAACCTGAGGGATAGTAGATCATACAAGGAGGTGGTGGAAACGACCAATAGAGAGGATTGCGGAAATGTCAATAAAGAGGATGGTTAAAGGTTAAGGAAGGCTGCTAATGGGATAAGGAATGTTTGGGAGATGCATATCTCCTCGGAGGATTCGACTTGGGTGAAAAGGTCTTTAATAGGGGTAATCAAGCATTCCTTCGAGCAAGAATTTGTTCAAAAAGCTTTGGCAAGTGAAGGAATTCAGGTAAAAATAGCGAGATGGGGCTACGCATGGAATGCATGTGTTGTAACCTTTAAATCGATTGAAGACTACTCTGATATATGGGTAAGAAAATAGGAGGAGATCTGTTTTTGGTTTGATTGGCTGGAGCCATTGCTAAACGAGGAGGGAGTTCCATTGGCGTTCTGTCTCGTGGAATTAATGGGATTACCGTTATTATGCTGGAATGTAGAGTTCTTGGAGAAACTTGTTCAGAAATGGGGAAAGTTCATTGGCATCTTGGATTTTTCAAAGAATAGGTCAGATTTATCGTCGGCAAGAGTTTTGATCAGGGTCGCCAGTCCGTTTGATGTTCCCTGAAATGGTCACAATAGGGTCTTACGGCAGATCATACAAGGTCAAAGTCATACTGGGATCGGTATTTTTAAAACCGGAGGAGTTTTCCGGGGGGATTGATGGTGAAAATTCAAATTACGGGTACAGTGAAAATCATTTTCCCGAGGAAGAGTGCGGCCGCCGTCTGACTTTGGAACAAGTTGAAAATTTTAAGTCTTCTGAAGACTCTATGCTGAAGAAAGACAACTGGCATGATCAGGAACAGAGGAGTAGGTTGCAAAAGGGGGATAGGGAGCAGCTTTTACCAAAAAAGTCAAATATGGATATTTTAGATGTCGGGTTGTCAGATTTGCGGGGAAAAGGAAAATATCCTGCTGGGGAGCATGCGAGACTTGGTTTCAGGGAAGAATTGGGCCTAGACTCTCAAGCCCAAGATTGTAACAATTTGATTTCTGAATCAAGCATGAAGATTCTGTGTCCTCCAGGGCCTGCGTATAATCTGAAATGGATCGCCGAAGGGTCCAAAGGCAGATTTATTCCCCAATTAAACAGGGAATGGATCAAGTCCAATGATGAACCGATAAAGGACGTAGTGGTCTTGGACAACGAGGTTAGGAATGCAAAAGGAGTGGACGAGGAAAAGGATGATGTTTCAGCTAAAACTGTTGGAACTCAACCAATGGAATTACGTAAGGGAACGTTTTCTAATGGTCAGAGGAGCTGGGTCCGTTAGTTCATTTGTCCAGAAGTTTGGCTTTGACGAGTGTTTCGGTGGGAAGATGGAATAGAGGAACTGGTAATAGAGTATATAGAAGATCAAAAGATAGAAAATTTTGGTATGATCCGAAGATAGAAGAAGAGTTGTTGCGACCAGCTGAGGTACTGACCAAAATAGAAAAGCTTCCAATCCTTTATTGACCACCCAACCGATCCCAATTTTAGAGGAAGATGGAATAATTAGCGACGATGAGGAAGGAGGTCCCTCTAAAATTGTAGTAGGAGACTTGGACCATCATTCAGGGAGTATAGAAGTGCCTCGATCAGATTGTCAGTCTCGAGCAGTTATAGGGAAAGAGAGTAGGCGACAAAGAAGGATTTTGACTAGGGAAGCTTTGGATGTGGCTAGTTTACACAGTTTCTTCTCCCTCCTTTTCGATGTTTTTGGAAGAAGCAGTGGCTACGTGGGAGGTTAGTACGATGCTGGGGATCTCATTTAAAGAAGGCATTTTTAGATAAAATTATTGATCTTGAGGAAGGATTGGGGGTTAGTAGGAATTGTTGAAATAAGGGGATTTGTTATTGTGCTTTTTTGATTTGAGGTTTTTGGGATATTTGTTATATTTATGAGTAACATTAATATTATTTCGTGGAACATAAGGGGGTTGGGGAAGAAGGAAAAAACAAGAGCTGTAGCTAAGTTGATCAGGAAGAATAAGCCGAGCATTCTACTTATTCAAGAAACAAAGCTAGAAAACTGTTCTATGGCTCTAAGGAGAAGGATAAGGGGTTGTCTTCTCGAGGGATGTATTTTTTCACCAGCTGTTGGGTTTGCAGGGGGTTTGCTGGTAATGTGGAATGATAATGAATTTAAAGTGTCCAGTAGTTACTTAAGTAGCAGGATTATTGCAATATTTGGGAAGTTTAAGAATGTTGTTGAAGAGTGTGTGATTATGAATATTTATGGTCCCTCCATTGAATCTGAAAAGGATGAATTCTACAGGGAATTATTGGAGTTTGTTTCAGCCCAATCGAATCTACTTTGTATTGGGGGGGGGGACTTTAATACGTATCTTGATCCGGTTGAGAAGATGGGAAGGTCTCAAAACTGGCATTCTGTTGATATCTTTAGGAATTTTCTGCAGCAAACAAATTTAATTGATCTTCCGTTGGTGGGAGGAACTTTTACTTGGTGTAACAACAGGGAAGAATCAACCTGGGTTAGGCTCGACAGGTTCTTAATTTTTGGTAATTTTTTGACCTGCTTTCCGAACGTAGTTCAAAGGCTACTGCCTAGGTCCATATCAGATCATAATCCGGTGTCATTGGAGGATTCGTATGTAGACTGGGGTCCTAAACCATTCAGATTTTACAATTATTTATTAGAGGAAGAAGGCTTCGAGGAATTGGTTAAATCTTCAATGGTTGACTTGATGGAAAGGAATAATAGAAGGGGTATCTTCAGTATTTTACAGGGAACTAAAAAGTCGATTAGAAACTGGTCAAGTAGGAAATTTAATGGGATTTCAGACTCTATTGAAACTTTAGAAGGGCGAATTAATGAGTTAGAATTGAAGGCACAAGGTAGTAATCTTTC